GAGAGAGAGAGAGAGAGAGAGAGAGAGAGAGAGAGAGAGAGAGGTTATTATCCATATTGTGTTCTGACTCTTATGAAAGAAACTATGTTTATTTGTTATACTCCTACTGCCCACTCAGAGTGACTCCAGTTTATCTGTGGTCTAGTTTATTTCAGGCCCACCTACAGCTAACCCTTCCAGTTGAGATAAGGAAGTGTTTTGGATGCTCCTAATCACAGATGAGGAAATAACATATCCAGTTCAATATAGCAGCAATCAAAACTCCCAGAAGGCTTCACTGTCTTCTAGCTCAGGTCTGCTTCAGGGGAGTACTTCAGTGGTAAAAGGTAAGAGGAGGGTGTGCTCAGCTTCCTTAGTTCCTGGTCCAGGATCCACATTTCTACTCCTCCCTCTCCTGATCACCAAGGCTGTCAAGGGCTCTGGAGGAGGTAGAAGATCACCCCTGAGGCCAGGCCCTGGTAGCTGGCTGGCTGGCGACACCATCTCTTCATGGCCAAGAGAGATTCTATAATTTCTTGCCTAAGCCCAGGCAGTTTTGAGAGTGAAAGTAGGAGCATGTTTTCTTTCTTTCTTTTTTTTCTTTGGTACCAGGGATCAAACTCAGGACCTTGTGCTTGCGAGGCAGGCAGTGGAACCACTGAGCCAAATCCCCGGCCCAGTAGGAGCATTTTTAATGGAGTACTACTCTGCCATAAAGAAAGATCATCTTAAGTCATTTGTAGGAAAATGGATGCACCTTGAAATCACAATGTCAAGTGATATAAATCAGACACACAAGCTTAAATACTGCATGGATTCTCTTATATGAGAAGCCCAAAGTGTAAATAAAGAGCACAATAAAAGATAGATAAAAGGATGAAGGTAAATACATCTTTCTCAAAGGGAAAGAGGACCAAGAGATGGAGGGAGAGGGGAAGTGGGGAGGGAAAGAGGATGAAACAAGATATTAAGATGTGTTATGTACATGCATCAGTTCCAGAGAAGGGATGTAAATATTACGTACTGCAAACATGTACCAAAAAACAGGGCGGGGGATCCAGAGACGGATGGACACAGAAGGCAGGGAAGGGAAAGGGGATGATAAAGGGAATTAGGATGTATTACAAACATGTACCAACTTCCCACAAGAAATGTAAACGCAGGGCTGGGGATTTAGCTCAGTGGTTCTGGCACCTGCCTTGAAAGTGCAGGGTTCCAAGTTTGATCCCTGGTACCAAAACAAAAAAATCTTTTGGGCCAGGGTTTTAGCTCAGTGGTTCTGCTGCTTGCCTCCAAGCACAAGGACCGGAGTTCAATTCCTGGTACCAAAAAAAGAAAAAAGAAATGTAAACATCATACTACAAACATGTACTAACAAAGAAAATTATCTGAAAAAAAGAATTCAAAAAAGGGGGAAGGGGGTTTAGCTCAGTGGTTCTGCCACCTGCCTCTCAAGTGCAAGGACCCGAGTTCGACCCCCGGTACCAAAAAACAAAACAAAACAACAACAAAAAATTCAAAAAAGGGAAGACAGTAGGTGTGTTCCATAAGTCACCACAACAGCAGATAGAAAGGCAGGCTGTCCGGGGTACACGGGACATGTAGTCACCCCACTTAAAGCTGACTTTCCTCACCTCGAGGGATCCTCAGCCCAGATGCACACACCTCTCACCTGCCCCTGATGCCTGCAGACCATTCCCCACAGGTTCGCAGACCTGCCAGACAATTCCCAGAGCCTGATAGATCCACAAGAAACACACTCACTTCCCCGCTTGAGGAAAGCGGAGTAGGACACAAACCCATCGCATTCTTCTTTTAAAAGAAAATTCTCCAATTGCCGCCGATGTTTTGGCCCCTGAATCTGCAGCCAATTGTTGTAAAATCAGTCCTGAAACACCTCCCTTGCACACCCTGCCTATGTGGCAAGCATCTCACTATGAAAAATGAAGCTGATGCTTCAGCTAAAACTCCAACAGAGAGGGCCAATTACCATCCTTTAATGACAACAAAAATCGTGCTAACAATGGTTAATGTTCTATTGGTTGTTCTCCCTTCCTGTTACTCTAAAAGAGGGCCCATGCTAAGAGTTACAAAATCACTCATGTAATCCTTATAACAACCCCAAGAAGTGGATTCTGTTAGTACCCGTATTCTTGAGATGCAACTTAGGTTTGGAGAGGTGAGTCAGTTTACTACAAATCACACAGTTGTTAAAGAGCAAGCAGAGATTCACATTTGTGTTTTTTCTCACCATCTGGGATTTTAGAATTCAAAACTATATTAGGAAACTAGGCATGGTAAATATTGGGGCAATTAATTGCATCCCTCCACCTGATAACTGGTGTAGAACCAGTTGAAGATCAGAGCATCAGCTCTGTTGCTGGAAGAAGCTGGGTTAGAGAATACAGGCGGGCTTACACAGCACAGGGCTTCCCTCCCTTTCCCCTCTGAGCTTCCCTGCCTGCACTCTCCCTTCACCAAACACCCACCAGGATGAAGCCCAAGAATGGAGTAGAAACTGCCCAAGTGCACTCAGCACAGTGGGGAGACAAGAGGTAGAAAGGTGCGATTCCTTCAGGTGCAGGCGAGGCCAAGGGCACAAGGGTGCCCCACGGTCCCTCCGACTGACGACTGACGTCCTGCCTGCTCCAGGCCAGCCAGCTCTGCTCGTGCACCTGCTGGAAGGACAAAGGGAAGGGCCGGCAGACACAAGGAGTTCCCGATGGTGCCAAGCTGCTGATGCTGAGGGAGGACAGGAGAAATAAACATAGAAAGGAGACGAGGAAAATTATAATTTTTAAATTGTACTTTAAAGGAAATTGCAGCTTCAGGACACAGTTATCCAAGGTCACAATGCTTTCTTTTTTCCCACCCCTTCCAAGCTACTCACTCCTAGATTCCCAAGAGTCTTAATGATACAGTAAGTCTATACATTGGGCCCCATGATTTTCTCCTGTAAATTGGGCCGGTGCCTTTTGCCTGTGAATTGGGCCTGGATTTTTGATCCTATAGATTCACAAATTCCAGAGTACCACCCCTGAGACCACATAAATACCCTGAGCCCCAGAACATAAACAATGTGCCTCACATCTCAAGTCCCTGCATTCCTTTCTGAATGTGTCCTTTTTTGATTCTGCTTAATAAATCTGCCTGTGCCTTTCAGGGACCTGTCCTGACATGCTTTTCTAGGATGAAAGTCTCCCAACCTACATAGTGGGAAGGTCGAGCCTGGAAGGATCTCCTCAGACCCCATCCAGTGACAAGGGCAGACATGGAGAAGCTTAGAGGAGCGGCCCATGGCTCTGGGCGAGACTTGGAATTGTTCCGACCTGTGCCATTGACTCTGGGGGCCGGACTACAAGTGGAAAGCTGGCTGGAAGAGAGGAGTCCTGTCAGCACAGGGAGCCTAGGGCTTTTCCCTGCTCATTTGGCACACAGTACAGTCCAGCAGCCAGGCCGCCATGCTCCGTTTTCTCCAGCACCTTGCCTCCCGGTCGGGTAGAATATCCTTTTGTGCATTCGAGACCTGTCTGTGGACACAGCCAACTGGAGGCCGCATCCAGGTTCCTGACAACATGCCGGGATGTTGCACAGCCTCATCCTCAGGAAGGGTGCGATGAGGCTGCGACATCACCGACCCCTCATTTGTTTTCTGTGGCTGCTCTGACAAGTACTAGGAAATTAATGACTTACACAAATGCAAACTTACTATCTTACAGTTCTTGAGGGTCTCACTAGGCCACAGTGATGGTCTCATCAGAACCATGTTCCTTTTCTGGAAGGCCGAGGAGACCATCCTTTCTTACCCTTGCCAGCTTTCTGAGGCTGCTCACATTCCTTGGCTCTTGGCCCCTTCAGAAAATGCTCACTTGGGCCTTTTCCCCATGGCATTGCAGAACACCAATTTTTCTTCTTCTCCTTCTCCTTCCTCCTCCTCCTCCTCTTTTTTTCCGTAGTAAAAACTGAGCCCAGAATCTTCACACTGAGCTACAACCCCAGCCCTTTTATTTTGAGACAGGGTCTCGCCAAGTCACTAAACTGCCCAGGCTGGGCTGGAATTTGAACTGCTCCCGCCTTGCCTTAGCCTCCTGGAGTGCTGGGATGTCAAGGCATGTACCACCTCATCCAGCCATATCTTAAGAGCCCCATACATTAGATGATTTAGGTCTACCTGGATAACGCAGGATAAAATCTTCCTTTTTATGGTCAGCTGGCTAGCAAATTGAATTTCACCTCCAGCTTCAATTTGCCCTTGCCATCTGACACGGGTTTAGGAGAATAGGAAGATTGGGAAGTGTTCATCTTTTTTGTGTGTGTGGGTTTTTTTTGGTACTGGGGATTGAACTCTGGTCCTTGAGCTTTCGAGGCAGGCAGCGGAACCACTGAGCTAAATCCCAGGCCCCTGGGAAATGTTCATCTTTGAGAGGTGTTATTTGGACCACAGTACTCCCCTCACACTTGCCAACATTGGCTGGCATGTACACATGAACACACACACACACACACACACACACACGCACACGCACACCCATACCTGATATACTCCCAAAGGGGAAAACCTGAACAATGACAGAGCTCACTCATTTCTAGTGGCTTTTGTACCTACTACGTATGATCCTTTTTCCATATCAGGCTCTTTCAGACATCAGAGATGCACTGCTTATTGATTTTTAATCTTTCAAGCCAGAAATCCTTTAACTCAATTAGATAAAGCACATTATGTTCAGCTGTGATCTCAAGCCAGTTTATTTATTTATTTAATCAGGTATCAGCTGGATCACTCTGTTCTGCCTGCACATTCCTGAAAAATGTGCTCCTGGGTCCCAGCACTGAAAGTGTTAACTACAGAATTAAAGATGATGAAAAGAAAGAAATATTTTATATTTTTAAAATCCCACAGTTATTGATCTTTATTGTAAAAAACATAAGTGCCTCTCCTTTAGTAGTAGTGTTCCTAACTGGGTATATGTAAATCAAATTCTTTGTAAATTGAGTCATATTTTAAATGCACCAGGGGAGCTGGCTATTTAAGGGATCCTGCTGTGAATCTTTCTGTCAAGCCAACAGGCTGTTTCTGATGCTAATTTTCACCCCTTAATTTGTCTGTTTTGTAGGTTCAGATTTTCACAAAATCTCCCAAATTCACAAGTCAAAGCAAAGCACACTTGTATCCTATATTTGAAGGGTATCTTTTTCACAAGCACTCAAAGAGCTGTCAGGTGTATTGTCTCATTTATCTTCCCAATGTTCTTCCAGAGAAGTTAGGGGCAGTCATTATTATCCTCAAAGGAGGTGTAACTGTCTCCCGACCCACATTGCAGGAGGCTCCCCTTAAAGGAGAATCCTGCTCAACTGAGAGCTATTTATTTTCCAATTAACAATAGGCTCGGTCCTGGGAATTTTTCTTTAAGCTCAGGATGTCCTTTTTTGCTACCCTTTGTCACTACTGCCCAGATAGAGAAACTGAGGACCTGAGAAATCAAGTGCTTACAGTGTTGTAAATATTGAGGCAATGCCCACAGAACCCATGACAGGGACTTGGCGTAGGGTGGGGAGGACTGAAAATTCTAGCCAGCCTGGGCAACTTGGTGACTTGGCAAGGCCCTGTCTCAAAGTAAAAAACAGAAAGGGTTCAGTCGCCAGTACTAGGGGAAAAAAGGACAGAAGATGGCCAGCATAGACCTCCACTGGGATCTCTCCACCTGCTGGGGAGAACAGGAGGGTCCAGAAGACCCTGTAAGCAATGTTAGGAAATGGGGTTCCGTTTAGTGCCTTCAGCCCACCCATAATTTTCTTCTCCCAAGGGTCTCGTACATATGACTTCATTCAACCTGTACAACATTTTAAGGTAAGGTAAGGTTTGGTTTTTTGTAAGACAAAGCAATTTAGTGATTTTCCAAAAGTCACATGGCTGTGAGTGAGAGATCGAGGGCTGAGTCAAGTCCATCTCATTCCAAAGGGATGTGCGTTTCACGTCACTATTATTGAACAAGCAATGGGCTTTGTGGGTATAAAAACTAATTCTGACTCTCAGCATCAAAGAAAGTGTTCCGGAGAGAAGCTACTGAGCCAGCTCTTGAATGGCAAGGATTTCCACAGAGAACTGATAGAAGCACATGCGCAAAGGCACCAACACCTGCACGAGTGGTCCTTTAGGCCCAGGTTATGGGAGAGCTCAGTAGTAAACAGAGGGGAGTTAGGGACATGTCCTAGAAGGCTTTGACTGCTTCTATGCAGGAGCTGAAACTCCTTGCCACAGGGGTGAGAAGGCACCAAAACTTTGCAAGGGAAGGAGCAACATGAACTTTCTCTCTGGAAGACAGTTCTGTCATCAGCACGAAGAAAGATTTTGAGTCAGAAGATCAAATTTGAATACAAGTTGAGAATCCTTGATCCAAAATATTTGGACCAGAAATGTTTCAGATTTTTAAAAAATTTTTTTGGAAATAATTATATATATTGGGGGGATGGGACCAAAATATAAACATGAAATTCACTTGTTTCATATACAACTCAGACACACAGGCTAAAGGTGCCTGGATTTTGACTGTGACCTGTCACATGAGGTAAGGTGTGAAATTTTCCACTTGTTGGCAGCATGTTTGTGTTCAAAAAATTTTTGGATTCTGGAGCATTTTGGATTTCAGATTTTCACAGTAGGGATGCTCAATCTGTACTTAGATAGCATTCTCTCCTTCAACAGAAAGAAAACAAAGCCTTTTAGTAGTTGCTGGAAGCCCAAGTAAGGAAAGGGCAGTCAGAACTGGAAGCTAAGATACTGGCTTCAAGACAAATGCACTTTCCCTTACACTGAACATGGCGGTCAGACCTTTGAAAGTCCTCACCAACCCATCTCTGGTGCTTCTCTTCCCTCTGCACAACAGCAGTGCCAGGCACAGGGGAATAGCCATGGTCTACATTTCTCTTGGCCACCTGGTATCTTCTCAGGTGCTAAGGATGAAAGTGTGTGGCCAAAAATCTCATTCTTGCTCTTTAAACTGACTATCCTTCAAGGCCTCTGTTGAAGGTCGTCCCTAGCTGTCCTAAGCCAGGCAGCAAGAAGCTGGGCTTAGTGAGCACTGTGGGGGCCCACAGTGTCTGGGGACATGGGCAGCAAACATCATATTGAACTTGACCCCTTTTCTCAGGTACCTGTTTATTACACTCACCCAGCTGCAGTTGTTCCAGGGCTTTTGAGCTGCAAAACTAGAGAAAAAAGAGAGTGAGAGCTGGGATGCTTGAAGCAGGAAGAAAGCGTGGGTGTCCTTTCCCCTACCCATCCACCCACCCAAGTTTATAAATCTTTAAAGATCCGTCCTTCAAAGCAGCTATGCAAGGCCATGAAGCAGTATAATTGGAATATGGTATACACTTTCCTTCAGTTTCTAAGTTTGGGCCTGCAGCACAATTCTTGCATTTCTTAAAGTCCTTGGGGCTCCTGGAAGAAAGGAAATTTAAGTATAAAAGCCATTATAATAGTACTGCTATTAGCAGTAGTGCGTTTGGCAAGAGGCCTGGGCCCCCGGGACTCCAGAGGCCTAAGTGACTAAATGGGAGGCTCAGTGTGACTCAGACAGATCAGATCTGTTTGCTGGGGTGGTGCTGGGAAATGCTAGGGGGAGGGGCAGAGGAGAGCCAGTTAGAGGTATAACCAGATTCAGGGGACTCTGCAGAGCTCAGAACAGGTGCACCTACGAAGAGATTTCTGGGGCTGGAGGCCCTCCTACCCACCAGCCACTGTCACCCCTTCCTCCTCCAGGATGCCTGGACTTCCCCAAGGCAGGGGTTTTATTCCTTTCCTTTCTGGCTTTGTATACACTGCCAAAATTCTGTTCTTCTCTGCTATCCTGGAAAGGTCAAACTGGCTGGTCAGGGATATCTCCAAACTCCTCTTGCAGAAAGACCCTTGAATATGTGGAGGGAGACTTCATGTGTGCAGTAAGCCACTGAGGGGAGTGAACGGACATCTGGGAGGGTACAGGGACACTGGGCAAGCAGCACACTGCCAAGTCCCCACAATGGATCTGGGCTGAGTCTGGTGCATGAGACACCCAGCTTCCACCTTCTGGGAGCAGCCGGACAGCCTCCTGCCATGGTTGTGGTTGTGTGAAGGCAAGGTTTGCACATGGAGACCCTGCTAAAACCAGAGCACCTGGGAGAATGCACAAGACACTCTGGCTGATGCCCAGGAATCAGGGCCTCAGACAGGGCTTGCACTCACCAAAGACATTGGAAAGCAGGCACCTCCAGTGATTTCCCAACACTGAATCTGGGCTCTGGTTACTCTCACACAACAAGAACAACACTATTTTGTACTGATAGTTATCTGAAGTTAAAGACCAGGAAGAAGCATTTCAAATGAAGAATTGACCTGACTTTGCTCCGCCCAACTCCCACTTCTTCCCATTGGAGGGTGCCTGGAGTTATAGCCACAGCTGTAGCCCACATGGGTTACTGTCACAGCCCCAGGCTCCACTGCTGTTGCCAAGCCCTGGGGTGGCTGTGTGAGAGAGGCTGAACAAGACACAGCCCGCAAGACTTTCACACAGACCCTACTCTGCCTGTCACAGCTGTTGGAGCCTGTATTGCACAACGGTTAGGAGTGGATAATTTGCTGTCTGACCTGGATTTGAATCTTGCACCCACCACTTCCTAGCTGAGTGACCAAAAGTGCCTGGACCTGTGAACCTCATTCTCCTCAACTGTGAAATGGGGCAAATAGCTAGCTGTACCGTCCTCTGAGGGTCAGGAGAATGAAATGAAACACTGAAGGCACAGCACATGGTGCAGTGCTGGGCATGGTGGCCCATGCCTGTAATCCCAGCACTTGGGAGGTAAAGGCAGGAGGACTGTCAAGAGTTCAAGGTCAACCTAGGCTACAAGATGAGTTCAAGGGCAGCCTGAGCTGCATAGTGAGACCCTGACTCAAAAAACAAAAACACAAAGAAAAAGACAAAAGCACATGGTGCAGTGCCAGCACATAGCTCTATGCGGGGACAACAGATGCCCTCTTTCAAGAATGGGTTGAGGAGATGGACCCTACTCAAAGGCTCAGGCTGATCCTCCCTGCTCCCCTTAGTGCATGTGGAAGGAAGGTCATCAGCACCGCCACACTGGAAGGGGTCATACGGAGCTCCTGGAAGGCCCCTTGTGCTATTGCCTAAACTTCCAGTTGGTGTCTCATATAAAGGAAAAAATCCACAGATGAAATTCATGAGACAGGTGGGCACTTCTGTTTAAATTACACAGCTGGAAGACTCTGTGTGTGACACAGGCTATGAATCTCAGCTGGCAAATACTTCCAGTGAGATAATAGCAAGGATGTCCAAATAGCTGCAGGTATCCCACAGTAGTCATTTCATAGCTCCACACATACTGCCAATAACTCCATCACAATGATATAGTAGGCATGACCAAGGCACATCAGACCTACACCCAACACAGGAAAGTGCTATATAATGTGTTACTGTGGACCCTCCACGGTGTTCCTGGTCTTCCTGGCCTTTCCTAGCCACTCTAGTAGCCATGTTGAGGACCCCATTCCTAGGTCATCTCACACTGAAAGCAGAAACTCATTACAAAGGACAGAATGTCTTACCCCCAGAATAGCACACGAGAGACATTTTTCTTCTTAGTGATGTACTTTCCTCTTCCCCAGAAGCTGTTTCAAAAAGGAATTTCCAAGAATGGAATAAGTAAGGTGGAAAATAGTCTGTAAGGAAGCCCAGTGTGGAAAACAGATGACATTGGAGCCAGACAGACTTAGGTCCAAAATAAAAAAGAACTGGAATGCAATGCAAAGGCTCAGAGTTTAATCCTCAGTACCAAAATTAAAACAAAACAAAATTCTGGGCCTGGGATTTAGCTCAGTGGTTTCTCCCCCTGCTGCGCAAGCACAAGGACCCAAGTTTGATCCCTGGTACCCCCCCAAAAAACCAAACAAAAAACCCCCCAAAATTCCTAACTCACCACTTCTGGTATGAGAGGCCTTAGATAGATCACTTAACCAGGTAGGTTCAACTTAGCCACAGCTTCAATCCCCTCATCTGTCAATTGCTGCTTTAGTCCAGCGGTTCTTGAACTTTAGCCTGGGTAGGAACCATGGAGAGGGCTTAACACACAGAGCACTGCAGCCTAGTCAGAAGGTCTGGGGTGTAAGGCAGTTCCAACGTTATACTGATGCTTTTCGACTATGGCCTAAGCACCACCACTACTGTTCAGTGTATATTATAGCTCCTGCTCACTTTAGAGAAAGGCAGATAGCAGGAGGGGCACCAGGGTTTGGTGGATTCAGAATCACCTTCCACTTGCTAGCTGTGCCGGGTTCAATAGCAAAATGAAGATAATGGTATCTACCTTGCATGTCAGACTCTAAGGAGAGGATAAATGTGAAAGTATCTTATAAAGTTCTAAACAACTGGAAAGGGTTAAATATGAGGATTACTGTAAAGGTCAGAGCTCATGGTGCTCAGTTGTGCAGTGTCTAGCTGGGGGCTTGCAGGGGGCTCGTCTACGGCCATACCCTGCTAAACGCGCCCCATCTTGTCAGATCTCAGAAGCTAATAAGCAGGGTCAGGTCTGGTTAGTATTTGGATGGGAGAAAGCAGAGGGCTCAATAAACAGGAGAGAAGCCCACCAGTAACTAAAAATAGTGCCAGAGATTTGTCTTTGTCACACACTGAAACAAAAAATGGTAATAAAGTTACAACATATGAAACTCATATTCCAGTCGTGGGTGGCAGGGACCGCCTTCTTGGCTTTTGATCTAATTCATTATTCAAATCCTTTAACAGAGTGCTTAATGTGGAACCAACTGTGGATCTTGATAAGAGAAGGCTGGTTTCTGTTTCCACTTTGCTCTCAGCAGTCCTCAGGCCTCCAGTATAACTTTCTTACAAAATGAATAGTGTTGGCTCCCAGTGAGACCAATCTAATCTCATCTTGTCCACTCAGAAGATCCCTATCAAACATTACAGACTTTCTGACTATGGAGCACAGCAGGAAGAGGCATCTAATTCCATCTAGATTTGGATCAGTGTTTAAATGATCGAGTAGGGAACCATCACTAAGGTAGAAACAGAGAAGCAAAATGCAACTGGCCAACTTTTAAAACACTGTTCTAGTCTAAGGTGTTAAAGAGCCCTGATATGAAACAAAGAAACAGAGTAGGAGAAGGGAATTACCATCCACTGCTCCCTTTAAACATGCACACAAATGAATCAACATCCTGCTTTTCCACTGTTTATGGGCATGACAGTCTGATCAGATTACCATGCTATACCAAGAGACCTAATTTACTAATCCTCTGGGGCATTTTAAATTACATTTAAAGGGAGAAAAAATAAGTCTCTGGTTACTCCTTGGAATAAAATGTCACTTATTCTTGATCAGCCATTTTCAGAAAGGCTCTGCCCACTTGAAGTGGAATTACTGGTGAGGTTGGCTCACAGAAAAGATGTATTTCAACTAGTCAGTTTTGAGAAATGCTTAAAAACATGGAACACTGTCAAATACCTAAGACTCTGAAAACTCTACATTGTTTTTATGGCTTAACCTGGCTGCATTATCAAGAGGTACCCAGAATCAATTAAATGGATATAAATTAAATGTTATTGCCACAAACACTTTAAATAAATCTCTAGGGATGTTACATGAAATACCCAGATTTAGGTCAAACTGGTTCACATTTGTGAAAGCAAACCAAAGTTCAGAAGCCAGATCACTTGGGGACTGTAGGTCTACTCTTTGCCAGATTTTAACATTAATTAGATGCAGGTTAATGTTTTAACTTGGTAATTTAAGAAGGTATATACTTCCTTAACTGAAAATTTCTGTGATGCTAACATTCTAAGAGACTGAGTGATGCAAATTAGAGAGAAAGAACAAAGAGGGAGGAAAATGGAGAAAGAACTAAACTGCTATTTAGTGTCCCACGATCATCTCCTAGATCTGTTGCTCAAAGAAATTTAATACTTTTACAGTTCAAAATACTTAAGCTGTGTTGGGGGTCCGTTAGCTGTGTTAGCAACAAAACCGGATGGGGGTCAATTACTACACTCACAGTTTATCCTGTTCCTTAGTAGCATCACTAATGGACAAGCTGACTGCTCCGGTAATCTACTTTGCCCAAACCCTTCATCAAAACTCTAAAATAAACAGTGACCTAACTATGTTTTCCCTCTTTTGCTGTAATCACACTTAGTGCTAATAATGTGAAGCACTGACAGGCATGAGTTTAGTTTTTAAGCTTCAGCTTTAGAGATGTCATAGCAACAAGATGAGGCTGAAGATGACTGGGGTATTACTGTATTAGAAGCCTTCATCATGACACCACAGTGGAGTAGTGCTGTTTTGGGGCAGGGGTGGTCAGAAATCTGACAAAATCTGAATGAGCAAAAGATGCAAGAAAATTAAACATTAGATAAGAAGGCAAAAAAAAGGCTTGTCTTTGTGATCCTAGGTTCTTTGGGCAAAGATTAGTCTGCTTTATAAAGTTTGACTTAGAAAGTAACCACCGTTGTAGTAATCAGGACAAAGGCAAGGGATATTGAAAATTTGTGCATGTGCTGTGTTACAACTCAAATCAATGCCTCCACTGTCCATTTACTGGTCATACCTCACCTGTCACTAATAGGGATTTTGGCCTACAAGTTCATCAGCTTCTCCCCAGTCTTATTTTCACCTCCTCAGAGGTTTTCATATTCCTTGCTTTCAGTGCAAAGGCCCATTCTTTACATTGCTGCAATTACTTTTGACAAACTCCAACATAATCACTTCACCCACCTGTTAAAATTCAAACCACTAAGCTTGGGATTCAAGATGAAAAATCCTTCTTTGGGAAAATGGCAAAAACACATTAAGCGTGAGGAAGGACAGAGCCCTTAGGTTGCTCTGCTCTATGAAGTTAGGGTGTTATTTACACAACTGTACGTGAGGCCCACATGTACAGTACTCATTCTACATGGATTCCAAACAACCAATTGTAATGAATGTCTAAGAACACAACTCAAATGTAAGATGAAGACTAAGTGTGTAACTTTATTTGTACTTCAGGCCTATTAGATAAGTATGGAGGTTGTGACTTTGGAGTGAACTCATGGTACCATATGCCTAGAACTGGGGATAGGTTGATACTTCTATGTCCGTGTTAAAACTCAAGAGATGAAGTGAAGTGCATTAAACTTAAAAGGTCCAGGCAAAAAAATGAAACTTGCAGTGTTGGGGATGAAACACAGGGCCTCATGCATGAAAACCCATGCTCTACCATGCTCCCAGCACCCAGAGGGATTTTTGCATGATGCTTTTCCTTCTCTATCCCAACAAATAGAGGCCATGCTTCCTTTATCTTTCATATTCTTGGTACTTGGCACATGTTAATGAATGAGTGATGATTCCTCATCCTTTTTTCACAGTTATCACGAAAGATGTTAGCACTCCCTTAGTGCTATGTGATAGGAACTAAGTTTGCACACATGTACATTATTAGCCCACTTAATTCTCATGGTTATGGTTTACATCTAAAGGGGTCCCCAAAGCCTATGTTTAGGTGACTGGATTATGGGGACAGTACGGTTTGCTGTTGGGAGGTGGGTCTGGTAGGAGGAGACAGATCAGTGAGGTAGCCTGGAAAGGTTTCTCTCTGAAGCTCCTTCCTCCCCTCTGCTCCTTGGTTGCCAAGAGGTGAGCAGCTCTCCTCCTTACCACCCTATCGTACTGCTTTTGCCTGGAGCACATGAACCATGCAAGGACTGAAACTTGTAAAGCAGGAGCCAAAATAAATCTCTCATTAATGTTGTGGGTGTTGAGTATTTTGTCCCAGCAACAAAGAAAGTAAGACAAACTGTTGATATTACTGTAAGTTCTATTTTGTAGACCAGGAAACAGCCTTAATCTGTTCAAGATCAGATACTAAGTGCTGGTGCTTCAGAGATTGTGTTCTAATCTACTGTAGAAATTGCCCATTATGGTCAACTGTAATTTCTCCATACCTTCAAACTGCATGTTTTGAAAGTAACTTCCAGAATATGTACATGGTAAAGCGCTATAGACAAGTACTACATGTTATGGAAATATTAGAGATGAAAGAGAATGTTTTCAAGGTGTTATGGTTTATATATAGATGTCCCCCTTAAAGCCTTATTTGCTCATAGGTGGGCTTTTGGGAGGTGACTGGATCATGGGTGTGATACTGTATTGGTTCGCTGATGGGTTTTCAGCTGGGCATGATATTGGGAGGTAAAGCCTGGTGGGAAAAGGTGGGTCGCTGTGGGTGTGGCCTGAAAGGGTATTACATATCCCTGGACCTCCCCTAATTGGCGCTTCTTCCTGTCTGCCATGCCAGGAACTGTTTCTCCTCTGCCATGCCCATCTGCCATGCTGCCCTGCCTTGGAACCGCCAACTGTGAACTGAAACCTCTATAAACTGTAAGCTAAAATAAACCATTTCCTCCTTTAACTTCTGGGTGTTGAGTATTTTGTCCCAGCAAGAAAGTAACTAATTAACAAGGTAAAAAGCAAGGGTATCTTGGGCCCGGGATTTAGCTCAGTGGCACCACACCTGCCTCACAAGGTTGTGAATTTGATCCCTTGTATCCCCCCCCCCCCCCAAAGAAAGGCTACCTTATCAAGAACTGGGATGTAGCTTAGTGGTAGTGCACTAGTATGTATGAGGCCTAGTATGTATGAGGTCCTGGATTCGATCTTTAGCACCACAAAAGTTTGTTAAAAAAAAAAAAAGGTTATGGTGACCTCAGTAAGTTGGTCAATCTGGCTTTGAGTAAACACAGAGCTAAAGAGTGGGAGAAAAAAATGCATGGCTAACTCTTAGGGATCATCTTTTCATGGGACCCCACTAACATCAAACCAAAACACAATCTATTCAAGGAGCTTTCTTTCTTATAGAATGAGGCAACAGAGTCAGAAGAGTAAGTCCTTTTTACATTTTCCTGTTGTTTCCCTTAATAGACCTTGAGCGCTATAAATATATTACCTAGAAGTTCACTGTACACGAAATAGGCCCTTGAACTATCTTTAAACCGTCTTACTGGTTTAGTCCCACGCAACTAGAAGAAACAGCAAATCATGCAGAATAGTGATTTCAGTGAAATCTTGCCTTATTTGCTCCACTGGCTATTCCTGAAGTAGGAAAGGGGAAGTTTCAGGTATTTATGCTGTCTGTTATCTTTCGTTTTGTTGCAAGGTGCCTCTGCTGCGCTCTGGTGTGCAACCAAGGTGAAACTGCGATGATGACGAGGCGCAGTAGGCGATGGGGCGGGCGGGGGGTCCGGTCAGAGGAGGAACACAGGGAGACAGTGGCTGGAGGGTCGCATTCTTACACTTGTTACTAATGGGAGAAAATTCAGAAAGTAAAACCGTTATAGAGAACAGCACTATGAAAACATACAGGGATAGGCAGCAATCACTGCATTCTAAATTTGTTTTTCAGGTATTCTCACAACCTGGAATTCCAACACGATGAATTAATTTACAGTTCTAAAGCAAGCGACCTCTAAAGCGAGAGACAGAAAATGGACAGTTTCCTTTCTCTTGAAAGAGTGCAAATTATTTTACTCCCAGTATCCTGAGTTTTACACGGTACTACTACTTGGCAGCCCATTCTGTTCAAATACAATAAAATACAAATGAAGCCACTTTTGGAATAAGCAAGTCCTGTGTTTATCCCCTTTTCTCATGGGAGATTTGCACATGGAGAGAACAGCTTCAGAACCAGGAATATCTGTGCTACAGGTTTGTAAGTGAGGAGGCATTACCAGATTCTTAACAGTAAAAAGTATTCAGTTGCCTTCAGAAATATTTATCAAAATATCTTGTTATGAAGTGACAAAATGAAGACCCTGCAGAGGTAGAAGGGAGGTCAGCTTCGCAGCAACATTCCAACCTATTATACAAAAGCTATGGGTTGTTAGTCTGAGCCAGGACTTTACATCTATCATATCCAACCTTTACAACAATCCCATTATTTCCATCTACTAAAGTCACACTGCTAAATGCAGGCCCATTTGACTCTCAAATCCACACCCTCTGTTATGTTTTTGAGTACTGATCAAATTTTGTTTAGAAAGTTCACCACTGAACACTATTTTATTCAATCTAATATAGAATACAAAAAAAAAAAAATCAACCAAGCATTATGCAGAACAGTGAGCCAGTGGCTGGGAAATGAGATTCTTCTCCATTAAAAGGCAAAATAACAATCACTAGAGGTAACATTTTGTCAAACAACATGGACATGTCTAAATTCTTCAATAAAGGTTAGTCAGATTTTTTTCTTTCAAATTTCCTTTTTGTTTTAATAGCCTTTTCCTTATTTTTTCCTTTTTCTTCCAGTTAAGTGTATACCCCAAGTATACCTTAGACATTTTCTACCTGAAATTTCAAAATCGATGATTAAAAACAAGCAAGAGCAGCAGAAGCATGTCAGTTTGGATAAAATGTCACAAATAAGCTATGAAATCATTATAAGCCAGTGATGATGCCTGCTTTCCTGGTGTCAACAATAACTGAGTTAAGAGATGATGATGCTGAACAACAAATCAACTTGGACAATGTCCATTAGCATCAAGGTTATGGAAGAAAATATTAAGACAGGACACCAAGCCACTTTTCCCCTTCCCACTGAGTGTTTATTTTATAGCTTTTGTATCAGGTAGTCAGCTGAAACACTTCAACAAGCAAGCTGGCAGAATGTTAAGGAAAAGAAGTGCGTCTCTCCAACAGGTGTGACAAAATGGTTTCACGTTAGAAACAGTCTTGCATAAATCAATTAACTCAGGGTAAGGAGGGTAGAAGAAACAGGGAGGAGACAAAGTCATGAGCATCTTCCAACAGGATTGTGAGGGGAAAAAAGGCACTGTTTATCTGTCTATTTATAAAATTCTGTAAAACAGACAATCCATGTTTCTTTAAATTACATTCAATACTGCTTTAGAGATGCTCACATACCTGACTCTTAACCGAAATCTATAAAACTGTCTAAAAAAATCCGACAGACTGCACCAGTGTGGCTCCGTCACAGGCTAGCCAGTAATGTGTTTGAAAGACATCATTATCATCAGGGACCATTTTATAAAGAGTACTGCAAAGGTCACAAAGCTGCATGAATTTAAATTATAGGATAAATCTGACTAAATGATCACATATTTCAATTTCTAAAATTCTCGCTCCAGGAAATCAAAAAGTAAGTTCCACTCCAGAGGAGCTGCACTGGCAGTATATCTGAAACAGGTCTGTTTTTCCCCTCAAAAGGCTGCTTGAAGAACATTTCAGGCGGCATCCTACAGCAACTCTGCATCAGGTACACGGACGCAAAACTTAACAGCAACTACTCTATTTCCTCAGAAAGTAAGTTGTGCTAATTTCAGAAGTAAATTTCAAATCGTAAGACAGAAACACTTGGGCCTCTTAAAGACAAACTTCATAGAAGGTACTACCAGGTACTTCTCATAATAAAGGATTCTAAGACCATAGGTGTGTTTGACAACGACCAGTGAATGGGAAAAATCCAGCTACACGATTTACACAGAGGTTATCTATGTAGAGAATTTAAATATAAAGTACTAAAATATGAGGTATGTATTTGGGAACCAGCCTTTACATTTTTCTAGTGCTTTTTGAATTTTTATTTAATTTTATTAAAAAGGAATCATTGCCTACAAACTATTTTCTTTTAAACTATGCAAATACAATAAGCAAATCATCTGCAATATCAAATACTGTTTAGTAAATCACTGAGGACACTAACAATTTTAGGAATATCCAATGGGATATATAAAGAGAAAGAATGGATTTCAAATTATAGACATTAACTGAATTTTTAGAAAATAAACCTGAAAATGTAAAGCTCAGTAAATTTAAGTTCTCTGATTTTCAACAGTTTAAATCCAATCATCAGGAAGTCAGATGCACCCAATATATTAGAAATTGCACGAATGCAAATGGCTGATAGAAAAGTGATTTCCATTGCAATATTTTATGTGCTGCTATCAGACA